ATATATTTCCAAACTTTCACATAATTATTTTGATGCAACATACCGTTCATATTATTCAGTATAATCAACAAGTATTTAGGCTTTTTCTCAATTTTAAGACCAGACCTTTTCATCAATATTTCTTAATCATGTATAGTCATATTTTTAACCAGTCTTTGTTTTTTGTTTATTTACCTTAAATCCAGCTAATATATCGAAGTCTTTCAGTTTGTTCATCAAGTATTACATTCCATTTTGTGGGTCCTGTAAAATTAAAACTAAATCATCCACAAAAACTCTCAGTTTTTAAACCTCTCTTTTGATTTGCAGACCATTTTTATCCCCCTCCTGCCTAATATCTCTATTTAACACTTCCAGAACTAAAATAAAAAGCAAAGGGGACAAATAATGGTTAATACCGAAATATTCCAAAAGGTGGGTGACGTGGCAGAGAAGGCCTACCTTCTGGGGCCCACCAAGCATAGGTCCCTGGCAGATGGTACTCACAGCAGACCCTCTCTGCCAGATTGATATATTCCTATCACAGTGATGATGATTCTGATATAGTCTGTATCAGAGTCACCATCACTGTCAGAATTGGGTCCTGCTAATAAATCTGGTCTGCAGCTAAAATGTAGTAGAATTCCTTAAAATCCTCCCCAGTTGGAATTGGGGTGGAATTATGTAAACCAACCTCTAGAATTTCCCTCTCCATCCAATGTTTACACCTGTCTTCAAATATTTCCATGTAATTCAATGGATTCCAGTTATTTTATTTCTGAGTCCTTCCTAAATTACTTTCACACCTTTGTTTCTTCACACACAAGAAGCATTATAGCCTGCAATTTAATCATTTGTATGGAGGGTTTGCACTCAACTAGGATGTGGGAGCTCCAGATGAATATTAACAAAGGCATCAGAACCTTTTTTATGTGTTTCTTATAATGAAGGCCTAGTTTAAAACAAAAACAAAAAACAGAAACACATACTAATTCTAATTCAGCAAATTCAGCCAATTATATTGGCTACAGGTCTACTGACATAATTTCTGAATATCTACTCAAAATTAAACCTTACTAAATTGAAGGGCCTTATTGTCAGGGAAGTGTTCTCTAAAACCTCAGCCTAAGAATAGCAAATCCTTTAAAAACACTGAATTTGGCAAACATAACTAAGCCTAATAATATGGTTAACTATCATCATATTAGTGCGTTCAGCATCAGACCCTTCTCCATAAAAGAGCCATTGCTACCCCAAGAACAACAATAAGCTCTTGAAGAGTATTCAGAAGCTTCAGTTGGTGCAAAATGCAGTGGTGTGGGCAGTTATGTGCACACCTAGATCTGCGCACATTACACCTCTGCTCCACAAGCTGCATTGGTTGCCACTTTGCTTCTGGGTGTGATGCAAGATGCTGGTGAGGATCTATAAAGCCCTAGATGGCATGCAGCCTCTCCCAGTACATCCACCTGTCCCATCAGGTCCTGCAGAAGAGGCCTGTTGCTGGTTCCATCCACTAGAGAATGTCTTCTGGCGGGACCCAGGAGGAGGGCCTTTCCTGCTGCTGCACCCACCCTATGAAACATCATTCCCTCTGCCCCCAGGGTCAGCCTGGCCCCGACCTTGCTCCCCGAAGAGCTGGCTTTGCCAACTGGCCTGGGGATCAGACAGTGATGTGGAGACCATAAGTTGGCTGTTCTGTTCTTGAATGCCTATGGTTTCCCAGTGAGTGCACTGTATACTTTTGTTTAATTGTTTTTAATGTTTGAAATATTTGTGTGCCTGCTGTATTTTTTTTTTTAATGGTACTCTTTATGTTTTAATTTTAAGCTGCCCAGAGTTAGGAATGTGAGACAGGCGGCTATATAAATTGAATAAATAAGTAAATATATCCTGCACCAGGGCCATCTGCAGGGGCTCAAAAAAGTCAAGATTTTGTCTAGATAATGAAGCCTACATTCTCCTTCTGGATTCCACTATTTAATCAGAAAATCAGAGGTAAAACGATTGTACAACTCAAGATGTAGGTTCAAAACCCATAACATTCAGGATGTCATAGCAGATTCTTTTAAAGTGATTGAGAACTGTAGAATTATTTTGGGATGCTAGAATGATACACAAGCATCAGGAGTCTATCCCAAGGAAGCACAAACAGGATTTTAGTTAAACTAATGTATCTGCAAGCAACAGTTACACAGAGCAGAACAAGAATGGGGAAAAAGAGAGTTTAAAACTTGGGAAAGTTTGTACACATTTGCCTGTTCATGACTGTCTTCCAAGCAAAACTTGTGCATTTTTAGAGAAATGATTCAGTTGGAGAGAGAAAAAGCTCATTCCCTTTCTCTTGCTGGTCTGAGAGAGCCCAGTGAACACTTTACAATAGTAGCAGTTGAATTAGCCCCTGCTACATTTTGCAAAATCATGCTGGTGATCCTCCTTCTCATTAAGGATCTGCTTCTCGACTCATGTTCCTTTCCTCTGAGACTAATTTAACCATTTTTTTTTCTTTCTGTCTATGAGTGGCATCATACAGGAGGAAACCCCTTCCTTTCCCCTGAATAGATTTTCTAATTTCAGCTCAGGAATAGTTTCTGTTGCCAGTTCAGAGGTACTCTGAAAGGAGCAGCAATACACCAGCTGTTCAGTATCACTTCTGCATCAAGAATATATTTGCAGCCTCTTGTCTCCAGCTCTTCCGTCTTTCTCTGGAGCCAGAGAAGTTGCTTCTGCCACACCCTCCGGCTCCTGGAGAGCAAATTGCAGATGGCAGCCCTGAGAGCAATGCAGGTTCACCAGGATGCCTTTGTTCTCTGCTGCAGGTGACTTCTGTCCCCGCCAGCATGTTAAGGTGCCCTGGAGTCTGAAAGGGTGTTACCAGACTCTCTCTGATGTTGGGCTACTATAGTCTAGTATGGCTCTCCTGCACAATATCATATATCACAAGGAAGTGGTTCACTTGTGAGCAATTTTAATTCAGTTGCAACCCATCAGATGAAGAGTAATATTCAGGGCAGCTTAAAACCTCTAGAACATCAATACAGATATTCTAAAATTGTCAATGCAGCTGTCAGCTGGAATGTTGGGGAGTTGATGGCCTAAGAAAGCAGAGAGCAAAGGGGTTGAGAAAGCTGCTGAAAACCATCCAAACTGTAGTGCTCAAAAGGATAAGCTGTTTCAGACAATGATTGGCTCACGTATCTGTCTATCACAGAAGGACTGGGCAGTCAGAAGATCACCGTCATCAAAGGCAAGGGAGGAGGGAGCAAACAAGTGGGAGAGGGTGTATTTCAAGTAGAAGCATAGAAGAAGGAACAGCCAAGGAGGATAAAAGAAAGTACATAAAGAAGTTCTTGGCAGGGACCTTGGGGGGGGGGGGGTGGGGGGGGGGGGAGGGAGAATTCTAAAGAAAATAGAATTGCATATAGTGAAAAGTCTTAGAACCAAGGATTAAGGAAAGACTGTAGGTGACATATTAACTGTAAATAATCTATTTTATTTGATTGTGACATTTCTCATCTTTGATTCACCTGGCAGGATAAAAAACGATATGGAAATATATACACCGTGTTTTTAGGACATACCCCTGCAGTAGTGCTGTCTGGATTCAAAACTGTGAAAGAAGGAATGACCAGCTTCTCAGAAGAATTCTCTGATAGACCAGATGATCCTTTCATGAATGTTTTAGCGAAAGGAAGGGGTAAGTGCAAATGGTAAGAATAACCATCACACTGTTCCAATTTGTGGTAGTATTATGCACAGGACAGAAAAAGAGTGAGACATAGTAAACAAAATGATTTAAAGGCATGAGATAAGCAAAAGAAATATTGCTCAATCCACTTTACACCAAATTATTATGCATGTCCATAGCTTTCTATCTGTTCCATTAGAGGCATATGTTGATTCAGACATTGCCTCTTTGTATTATATTCGTGATGGTTTTAACTGTTTTTATGATTGTTCACTGCCCAGAGTCAGTTGTCTGAGATGGGTGGCTATAGAAATTGAATAAAATGAATAAATAAATAAATGTTATAAGGACATGCTCTTATTACATTTATTAATCTATTCAACAACAGAGTGAGTTACTAGAAGATAATCTGAGAGGCGCTCTGATGTGGAATGGGAAAAAGCATATTTTGGTTGCATAGGATATATCTAACACTGAGGTATAAGCTTTCAGTACTTTCAATGTACAAGAATTAGGTTTAGTTGGGATCTATTCCAACCTTATAAAAGTTCTCAAATTTGAATAAAAACTACAGCCTTAATTATCCTACCCAAAACCAAAGTAAAATGATATTCAAAAAATCAATGTAATATATCTAGAAAATCCATAGCAGGAACATAATAATTCATTAAGGCGTAAGATTCATTAAAATATTTAATCACCAATATTTTAAAAATCACTTATTTCTTGTTCCATCACAGATTTTGAACACTGTTAATCAAAATTAGTATTCCTCAGCAAAAATTTGAATTTTCACTTTTGTATACTTTCCCATCCTATTCTCTAGAAAAGAGTTCCTTCTAACTGTAGCTGTTGGAGGACTCATGCTTATAACCTGCTGTGGTGTTGGAAGACAGCAACCTTCTCTCATTCTTAGTATGACAGTAATTGATTGAAATTGGAGAGGGGAGGGGAGGGGAGGGGAGGTGTATATAAGATGGAATGGAAAGGGTAGGGGTGAACAGGCAAACTAGTTTGGTGGTTTTGTGGTATGAGCCAGATTTCTATGGTAGTCAACAGAGGGAGGCATGATGATTAGAACTGGCCATACCAGAATAAATGTGATCAGCAATTTGGTGCATGTCTCCATTTCTGGACCTCTATCTCTTGGGGGCATGGGGGTCAGATTGCTAGTACCCTTGCTCTCAGGCTACTGTAGGTAAATAATAGGTCCATGTGGAATAAGACCTCATCCATTTCTTGACGAACTGAAATTTCTTCTCCAACTTCTGACTGATAAGTGATTCATTTAAGGGAATCCAAATTTGTATTGAATCCAAATTTAAGCAATTGGTTAATTAAGGATTAGAAACTGCTCCTTTTATAATAATACAACTTACTAATATCATGATAAAAGTGCACTTCTCTATCTTCCCGATTTATCTCTTCCAGCTCATCAGCTTTTCAAAGAATATTGCCCCTCATATGGGCATTAACAAACTTAATATATCCTGGGTTCTACTACCTTGTTTGTGTAACTTTATGAATTCTATCAGTGATATTAATGAAGCCTAGGAAATAATCATTCTGCCATTTAGCAATGAAGCGAACAATGTTAGTTTTGCAATATTTTCTATGACTCTTGCACTCAAACGTTTCATCCTGAAGATCAGCCATACATGATCTAATATCCAAAAGATTTTGAGTCTTTTTTTTTTAATATAAGGAATCTGAACATTTATCAATTTCACTAGGACTATCAACAATGTCATACACTTGTTTAGACATTTCCTTAATTTGTTCATATGTAATAAAACTGATATTCCTTTCTTGTCATTACTTAGTTTGTTCAATTGTTTTGTACCCTTCCATCTTGCACTTCTTTGACAGACTCCTGTTCTCCAGCTCCTTAATTTGAAGCTTGATTTTTTTTTATAAACTATTGATTCTTTTTTATATAACTTGCTTAAATAGGTCAGGTGAAGGCTATCACATCTGGCTCACAATATACTAAGCTTGATTAGTTTTAGCCAAACTTTTCTTATGATTTTGTTTCATCGTTTGTTCATTTATTGCTGGCTCACCTGCAAAGTAATTTGCACTCAGGCCCATAAAACCAATTAAAAATATTGTACTTAATCATTGACAGATAAATGCAATAGTAACTTGATTAAACTGGGTGAGTAGAAAAGCCATTTGCCTATTTTCCTGGTTAATTTCAATCTTGTGGGAGGGAGTCGCCCAGGGAATCTGCCGCCACTGAGAAGATCCTGCCTCTTGTCCCTGCCAACCAAATGGATCTTAGTGGCAGCACTGCAAGTAGGACCTTCGGCTGCTCTGGGCAAGTCAACAAGAGTATAGGTCATTCTGCCACACAAGAAAATGAAAAATATAAAATGTGTATGATGCCTGTGACATATGTTCTTGTACATGAACGATTACATTGTCTCAGAGGCTTTTGAGGTCCATCATACAAGTTAGAGGTTGGCAAGGACTGCACCTTTGTACACCATACCACATATGTCTCCCAGTGTTCATGTGACTCCCAAAATGAAGAAATATTTTTAAATAAAACCACATGGCCAGAATCTTACAAAATTGAAATGTGTCACAAGGGTTTGGTATTCCCACCTGAAATCCAGAGAGAATTTTTTTAGCAAGAACTAGACCTAACCACATTTTAATATTAATGATATCAGAAATAATTTATCACTATCTGCTGATGCCCTCAGGAATTTTTCTTTCAAATGGCCACACCTGGAAACAGCAGCGACACATTGGCATCACTGCTTTGCGGAAGCTGGGCCTGGGGAAAAAAAGCATTGAGCATCAAATAGAAGAAGGAGCTCAGAAGCTGGTAGAGATCTTTACAGAAACAAAAGGTAGACAATTTGGGGTAATGACAATGGCTCAAGTCCCTGTCTGCAGAAGTCTTTACATTCTATATACTACTAAAACTCTCATGTCTGTAACCTTCAAATGGGCAAAATGGTGCATCATAGGGCAACAATTTTTGAACCAAGTTACTTCAAATGGGCTAACTTATAGAATGCATCCAAAATCCAGGACCTACAACTCCCGCTTGATTGAAATTGAGGAAATTTGTGGCCGCCTCAGCACTGCTGTGGTGCTGCACCACCATCAGCCCAGGTCACATGATTGTCATGGGTGTATCCCCAACCTCTTCCTTGCCTCCATCTGTCCCCTCCGCCCAATCGGCTGGCAGCAAGGCCCAACTGGCAAGCGGCAATTGGCTGCTTTGGAACTGAGGCCAAAATCTGAAATATGAAATAAGGGAGTTAGTTGGATGCCTGCTGGCAAGGTAGGGCTGGCTGGGTGCTGTTGGCGGTCAACGGGTCAGCCCTCTCCCTCAAGAGAAGCAACCCTTGGGGAAAAACCAGAATGGGAAGATTTTCCTTGCAGTCTGCGGCACCCTTTCTTCCACCTTCCCTCAGCAAAATGGCAGGCAGTTCCATGTGTTAGCAGAGGAGGAGGGGGCAGCTTCATAGGTGCTGTTCTCAGGGTTGTGAAGGGAGGACAAATGGCACAAGCCTATATTTATAGGATGATGGGAGGGGGAGGGAGGAAGGAAGGAAAGAAGGGAGGGAGAGAGGAAGGAAGGTTTCTGCTACTCCCTGCAGCTTCCCACAAGCAAAGTAAAAGGGGAATGTGGGAGGAAGTCGCAAGTCGCTCAGAGTCCTAATACTTTTTTGCTGTTGGTCATTCTATTTCTCTGTTTAGCTAAGGAAATATCTCTGAAACAATGACCTAATGGGTCACAGGTTGTCTAGTTTCAAATAAAAACAGATCTATTTGATGGAGTTTTAACTTTTAAAAAAGTTGACAGAGTTCCCAATTCTCTTCCCTCATCTCCTTAGAAGTCCTGTTCTTTGCTATTAACAAGTGAACAGGAGAGGCTGAATTAATTATAACATATCTTCATTTGCAGGAGACCCATTTGACCCTTCATTTCCAGTAATAAATTCAGTTTCTAATGTCATTTGTGCTTTGAGTTTTGGACATCAGTTTGCTCCTGAAGATGAAAACTTCCAGAAGCTAGTTCAAGCCATGAACATTCTTGTGAAATTCAGTGGTGACGCTTTTCATATGGTGAGTAATGCTTTCAACTAAAGAGACAAACATCCCCCAAAACTTATCTTTCTTCCAATATTTTCATGGAATCATAGAATGCAAGGCATGGAAGAAGCTTGGAAATCATCTAGGGTACTTCTATCCCCAGTATGTGTGTGTGCCTTCGTGTCAGTCTTGACTCCTTGGGACTGCCTGGACAGGTCTCTGCAGTTTTCTTGTCAAGATGTTATGGAAATACCCTCTTCCTAGAGCTGAGAGAGAGGGACTGGCCAAGGTCACCCACTTGACTTATTGCCTGAGTCAGGACTAGAACTCACGGTGGCTCTCCCCAGTGCAAGAATCCATCATTTCAGTATCACCAACAGACAGCCATCTATTCCATGTTTACACACACACTAGCAAAAGATGGTCCACCACTACCTTGGTCAGTCCATCACTGAAAGGTTCTCACCATTTTTTCCTGACACCCAACCAACATTTGCTTCCTTATAATATACACCTATTGTTTCTGTCCTGTCTTCTGGAACAACTCTGAACCATCCTGCTTCTCTTCTATGTGACACTCCTTCAAATACATGAGGGCAGTGATCACGTCCCCTTGCAGTCTTTCTTTCTCCAGGTTAAACATAGCTCCTTCTTCCAATGGTTCCTTTTAAGTTTTTCCACCAAGTCTCTTGTCATCTTAGCCGCCCTTCCCCAAATACACTTCAATTTCTAAATCTTGTTCCTAAAGGACAGTGGAGAGAAGTAGATGCAATATTCTAGTGGGCTCTGAATAATGAGGAATAAAGATGAACAATGATATCTCGTGATCTTAATACTAGACTTCTGCTGATCTATCCTAGGACTACATTTCCTTTTCTGGCAGCTGCATCACATTGTTGGCTTATGGTCAGCTAGTCATCCAACAAGACAGCTAGATTTTTTTCACATGTATTGTCTCCCATAATACATACATACATATATATATAGATACATATATGCCTTTGATTTTTCCTACCTGTATGTAAGAATGATCTCAATTAGCTCTGTACCAATGTCCAACCCATATTTCACCATCTTCTCCATTAGGATCTCATGTGAAACTTGGTCAAACACTTGGCTGAAGTCAAGATACACTAAGTCCAAGGTCTGCCCACATTTTTAGCTAGGTAATTACATACGCACACAGCGCCTTAACTTTCCACTCACACAACTCTGGGTGGGTCTGTATTGGGACTATCACTCCACACAGTATCTTGGAATAGCACTAAATAGTCCTTTTCTCCATGAAACCATACTGCGACTCTATTAGTCAACCCATAAATCAGCCCTACGCTCCAAGGATGTGTCGATCAAGTCTAGTCCTGGAATATGACAGTGACACCCTTGCCAAATTGTCCCCTGAATCTAAATCTTTTTTCTGGATTCTAGAAAACAGAGCACCTCACAGAGGTCCATCATATCACCTGTTCACCTTGTTGAGGAGAATCACATGTTTATGCTATGCAAAGCACCTCATTCAGGTGACGCTGAGCTGCCTGAGAAAGGCTTAATCCCCAGTAATGATTGCAGCAGTCAACTGGTGGAAGGATGGGAAGGCTGAAGAAAAGCCCGCTTGGATTACACGTGAAATAGAGAATTGTGCTTTCATTTAGTTGGCCAAGAGTTTGAATATGAACCCTGGAGAAGGGAATCAATACAACTCTGAAATGAATCTATCTACCCATCATCCATCCATCTGATTTATTTAGCCCCCCCCCCCCCATCTCACACAAATGTCTCTGGGTGTTTTACAAGATTAAAACACACAAACCCACCAGTCATAACTCCAGCCCCTAAGGATAAACAATGACCTCACTGGCCATCAATAATAACAGAGTTCATCTACTCACCTGACCCAACATTTTTTTGGAAGCAGTCAGGTCTTCAATGCCTTGTGAAACCCTAACAGGATTGGGGCATCTGAATCTCTTTGATTAGAGATGCCCATTTTTGATCCCAAAGATTATCCTGAGGTGCCAACTCAAGTGTTCTAGACCACAGAGTAGCAGACTGTGAAAATCCCACCCATGTAATTAATGTATTATTTAGTCTGGCATGTGAATCTAGTTGGGCAAATGTATTAAATCCCAGCTAAGTTAGCCATAGCTGAGCATATTTACAAATGCTCCAGTAGACAATAAGAGAATTATTTATAATAATGTATCTGCCGCCAACATTATCTGCTTTCTAGAAGAGGTGGGAAACAGCGTTTTTCTACATGGCTTTCGGAGTGTGAGACCATGCATTGTTTACCATGTTTTAATATTTGTGTTTGATTATAATATTTGTGTTTGACTATTAAGTGCTGTCTGTTACTGTGAGCTGGTGAGAGTCTTTTAAAATTTTGATGGGAAATCAATCAATCAATAACTTTTGCTCTTCCTTTTCTATTAGATGTATGATGTGTTTTCACGGTTAATGAACTACCTCCCAGGGCCTCACAAGGAGGCCATGGCTTCTGCAGAGTTGATCCTTTCCTTTGTAAGGG